TCTCCTGGAAGCTATTCAAAACATCTCAGCAATGGCTGCATTACTGCAGACACAGGAGCAGAAGTGGGGGGATAGCCCACTGTTACAGTCCAATAAATGTGTGTAGATAGTGCAGACGTGATTTATAGTTTATTTTCGGCTCCACTGTGCTGACAAACGAGCATCCATCCGCCTCTGGCACGCAACAGATAATGCATGCAGCTCAAGCACATCATGAAAGGCTTCTCAGGTCTGAAGGGCCTTTCGCTGCCTGCTCGGGGCTCCGTGGCCGGCTCTTTTCTCCTCCGCTCACGCCTAAATAAAGACGTCCTTCAAAAGCAACGGACCCCTTTCAGTGGTTTCATGTCACATGTAAAATACCACTTTTGAATGTACCAGTTGATGTAGTTATGAAAACTTCAAGGACCATTTAGAAATTCTTGAAATATTCTGGGTTTTTTCTTTTCAGACGGTTGAAGTGGGTGTCAGACTGCAGCTGCAGCTTCTGGTTCATGAAGACAAATTCTGCAATTTGGAAGTTTTCAGATAAAAGATTTTGCTCTCTGACAGGTGTTTACAGTTTAGTGTACTGAAGCAAGGCTGCTGCTATCGATTTAAAACAAATTTGTTAACCTATAGATTATTTTTTGGATAAATGAATAAAATTTAGTCAATGAGATTCGTAAAAAATCATTACAGCTTTCAAGCTGACATCTTCGAATGTCTTGTTCTGTCTAACCGTCAGTCCAAAACACAAAGATAATACATTTTTGATGATATAAAATGGAGACAAGTAGATCCAGTAGTCTGATTTCTTAACAAACAATGACATAATAAAACAGAGCTGAATCTTGGGGTGTCAGGGAGCTGCACCTTTATAGAAGTGTGAGTGTGTTCATGGTAATGAAGGAACATCTCACTTGGTGCAACAATTTGGCTCAACTGAATAAATTATATAACAGGTTTTGGCTACACGTGCTTGTCCTTGTTTGATTTGTCCTTTTTATAAGATTTGTTGATAATAAGACATATGGAATATCAGCTGCCTTATTCTTTAAAGACCCTAAAACCAGAATCAGTTTCTTACAATAAGGGTCTTGAGTTGAGGTCTATAGTTTTCTTTTTCATAAAAAGAGATTTATTTATTTGTTCTTGTCTTTTATCATGTTACTGGTTTGATGTGGGTGATACTGCTTCACATACTTCTCTGCACCAATCAGAGTTTAGCAACATTTGAATCAAACTCTGGTTACAGCTGTTTCTTGTTTGTCAATCAAATCTGTCAAACCACACCTACGCAGTCAGGGCTGCAACTGATGATTGCTTTCATTATCAAAGCATCTGCTGACAATCCTTTTTTAAAATTATTTATATATATATAAAAAAATCAGAAAATGGTGAAAAACGCCTTATAATTTGACAGGCCAAGGTGACGTCATCATATTGCTTATATTTATTCAACCAAGATATTCAGTTTACTATCATATGACAAAGAAAATCATCAAATCTCATATTTAAGAAGCTAGAAACTAAATTAAATATTTTAACATTTCTCAGTGAAAAAATAATTCACTGATTATTAAAATAGTTGCCAAAAGACTCATATTTGCAGCTCTACACACGGTCCAAGAGAAGCAGAGTTTTTGATTGTTACATTTCTGACAAATGATAATGAAATGATAACTAAAGTTGTTTTTTCCCTCTGAACTTTAACTTTGATTGTTGCTTTAAATCAATAATATTTATTGTTGCAGAGGAATAATTTCACTGGCTTTAGGTTACCCTATTAGAAAATGTAGCATCTATCAACTTTGTAATTGTTATAACTGATATTTATCCCAGAATTTCCTTTTCTTCAATTACAATCACATTTCAAATATTCAAGCAACATAAGCATAAAAAAAACCAGCCTGCATTGTGAAGCTAAGTTACACCAACCATGTTTTGTTTTTTTTAACTTCACACATTCTGCAACTGTTCAATTTGACTGCAAAATGTCAGCGAGTAAACACATATTTCAGAAATATTCCTATACACTGGTGTGTATTTGTTGCGGCCTCAGATGCCAGAAGTCGATCCAAATCTCGACTCAACTGCAGAACTATTTCAATATTGCAAAAGAATGAAAAAAAATCCCAAACTTTAAGACTCTAAGCCACCACCCCTCCCTGCTGCCTGTCTCTGGGTATTTCTACGAGTCTCATATGAAACACTTCTGACGTTAAACACCTGTTAACTTTTATGTCTTGTGAGCGGAGTGGCTGAATGAGGGAGCATTATGTTCAGTGCTAGTCGGCCTGGCCAAATCCCCAGTAGAGGAAAGACCACTCCCAGTGCAGAGAGGCAGCAGCAGTGAGTGAGTGAGCCCCCTTATCCCTGCAGCCTGTAAGGATCCCCTCCGCTCAAAACCAACAGTTACCTCGATTCCAGTTGACAGCTGTGTGAAACCACCATCTTTCCACAAGCTCTCTGCTGGATAAACTGCACTGCTACCCACCAGCAGACCTGCTTAAGAGGCAAAGTAAGGAGATGTGAGGAGGTTTAAGGCAGCTTATGTTAGGTTGTTGGTGTCTCGTATCATATTCAGATTTTTTTCCTCCATACTTAGATGCCAGTGCTGAAGTGAGGCTGATGCAGTGTGTCCTGCAAGAGACCAAACCACCCATTATGAAGAGTCCCAAGATGTATTTTAAGGCTGTAAATTCAAGACTAGGAAGTTTGTGATGTCGTTTACTCATTCTAATAAGCACTGAGGAAGTTGTTCTCAGTTTCTTTATGTACGGCCCATCAGTGCAAGTAACTACATACATTTACTCAAGTACTGTATTATTTTGAGGTACTTTACTTAAGTATTTCCATTTTATGCCACTCGATACTTCTGCTCCACTACATTCTGGAGGCAAATATTGTCCTTTTCACTCCAGCTTAAACTTTGACAGCTTAAGTTACTAGATAGTAATTATGAATACAAAATATAATCAACTAAATTATGTAATATTATAGATTAAGTTACTAGTAGCATATAAAGTAGTTGCAATTAGCTCCACCATTACCAGCTCCCACAAGTGATGCTTAAACATTAATGCATCCATAGCTATAATTCTGCATGTACTTTTAATTTTAAGTAAAATGTTTAGTCTTTTATATATAAACCATCATCTTTTCAAAATAGTTTAAACAAAATACACTGTAGTAGTAGATAAAAAAATTCAAACAGTGTACAGCTGGACCATGAATCAGCAGGAAAAAATGTTCACTTTAAACCATTATTTTTCAAAACACAGGATGCTCTTCTGTACTGTAAAAAAAAGGGAGATTAAGCGTTTTTAATCCACTGAACATGAAACACTCACGTTGTACTGAATTTCTGGTTGTAATATGCTGCAATCAACAATTATTTCCATTATCAATTCATCTTTGGAGTATTTTCTGAATTTATCAGTGAAATGCAAAAAAGTGCCCATTACAATTCAGGGAGCATGGCAACCTCTTCACAACACAACAAGTTTTCAATTATCACATCAACCCCAGCACATCCTCAAACAACTGTAAACACATTATTTTTTTAATCTTTGTTGGAAAAAATTACCAAAACTAATAATCAGTTCAAATAGTTGCAGATTAATTTTCTGTACATCCACTAATGACTAATCATTTCAGCTCTAGTCATATTTTTCATTTATATTTGTCTGGCAAAATTTTCTTTCCACTAAGTAAATATTGTATTTTGTAAAAACTATTGTTGTGTAGCAGATCGATACATAACATGATGACTGCATACAGAGGAAACAAGCTCTGACACCACCCTGAAACGTTTGGTGAATAAAGCATGGTGAGCTGGAGTTGTACGATGTGTTTGGACTTGCATTTAAGCTCAGGCTGGCCCGAACCTCGCTGTGTGTCAGAAATCTTTGTATTTGTTTCATTATTGATTACGTCAGAAATGTAAAAATTGAGGGAACAGAGTAAAATTTCGTTCTTAGAGTATGTGGGAAAAAAAATAAAAAGTACGGTAGAGTCAAAGCACCTATAAGCAGGTCAGCATCTGCCCTGATTAGTGCAGTAGCAGTGAAACCAATGGATTTGGATTATTAATTTGTGTTGCCGCTTTCTGTACCATCTAAAAATCTCATTCTCGATGTGAGGTCTCTGCTGAGCTGAAACCAGTTCAGCAGCACTCCATCTCGTACATAAAGCACGCTGCCTATAAAATCTGTCTCATGTGCCTCAAACTGCTGATACTCAGCAGTGGAAATCTGCTTGGCAAATTCAAAAATCATTTGAGGCTACAATGCAAACGACTATAATAAAATGACGTCTCAAGTCGCTCCAACGGCATCAGTGAGTGAAAGGAGCGCTGTTTGTCTGCCAGACCTGGTGGCTAAATGAAAGCCGATCCAAACCTTTAAATGGCTAATATTTTCAGGCTTGGATTGCAGCACCAGGAAATACCTGGGAGAGGTACACCTTTAAGGAATCAAATTTAGCAATCCGCAGGAATGGTTGGAAAACTTTACCCAGAGGACTCTGGCTTTCCGTAACCTGCCTCCGTGCTTTTTGGATCCCGTAAGTTCAGGTGCAGCGATTAAAGCCTCCTAACGTGTTAATGATGGTGGAATATTTCATTCTAAGTTTGTCAGTTTTATCCCCCATTAGCAGGCAGGAATGTCCTCTCCTCTTCTCCGCTCCGAGGTGATTGGTTAACGTCTTTGGCTATTTACACTTTGCGGACAGGCACATCCATTTAGGGAAACAGAGGAAATCATGTTTGAGACATAATATGGGTCTATTAATTAAAATGCTCTGTGCACTATTTTATCTTTTCATAAACAAAGATTTGAGAGAGAGAGATAGATAAGTAGTTTCTTCATGAGTGAAAATCTATTAAAACTATTATTTAAAGTATATTCTGGACATGTGAATGTGTATCTTTTTAACAACTAGTCTAAAAATAGTCTAAAACAGTCTAAACGTGATCAAGTGATGCCCAATTTAAAAATAATAGTCATTTGCTCTTAGTGCTGTAAGTAAGAAGTGATTTATACTGTTTTGAAGCAATGAAATAAAGACGCAATATTCAGTATTTACATTTATGAAACAAATGTCTTTACATTGACAGGTAGGTAAGACATCTAACACAGTTATATTGATATACGGGTAATACAACAACTAGATTACCTCATAGACAGCAAGAAACAGTTCTTTGTCTGCAGTGAGTGTTTCAGTTTATAGAGAAACTGTTCACGTACTGTCACGTTTTTCCTGTCTGACTAATACTGCTGTTATTTCAAAAGAGAAATACAAAAAAATAAAAAAAATAAAATAAACCATCCTTCTCCTTTTGAATAATAAGTTTAAAAACAGCGACGAGTGGGAGGAAAACTTTTCCTTTCATTCACAGAATGAATATTGAATAATAAAATTCACAATGAACGCTAGATGCCTCACAGTGATTTCTATGTACAAGTGTTTGGATTTACAAACAACAACAAGAAGAAAAATCACCAGATAACATTTGAATGTGTAACCATGATGTCTGTGGAGGTGAAACAAGGGCTTCTGACTGACAGCTAATTTCAATTCAGCCTCTATCTCTGCTGCACATTAAGCCTTTGATTGGCCTGAAAATACTCACAGGTTTGCTGGGCATTACTGAATAAACGGAGGAATGATGAAGTCTGATCCAAACCACATGGGCGTAGAGCAGTAGAAAGTATTCAGGGTGATTCCTACACAGATCCTTAGGTTTACACTCAACCATGAGAGGAGAGTGTATAATACTGTCCACAGCTTTTCAATATCTACAGTCAATGAAGCAGAACCAGTTTTACATGCTAACTGACTGCAGAGGCTCTCTGACCCCCCCAAACAACAAAACTGACTTGGATATGGAGTGCAGAGAAAACACCGCTGGGACAAACCAGTCCACCGCTGTCAGAGGTTTTAGCGTTTGGCTCTCTTGGAAAGGGGCTCCTCTGATTTCTGTCCTCCCCGCGTTCGCACCGCAGGGGGGCTGGCCTCCCGCTTACGGCCCCCCTTCGCCGCCGCTGCCTGGCCCCTCGTCCCGCTGCGGGAGGGAAACAAGGAGCAAGTGTCAGTCTGTGTGTCTAAAGTGTCATGTTTAGGTGCTGTAATTGTATATAATGTTAATTCAAGAGTTATTCATGAAAAGTGTTGCAATAACCAGCACTCCTTTATTACATATGAGTGGAACCTGGCGTGTCCACATTCCCCTTGAGTAGAGAAAAGACAGATTTCTAAAGACCCATTTAAGACAGGAATTTAATTTTAGTTCAAAAACTAAATAAAAATCCATTTTATCACAGATATGATTAAGAAAGACATTTTCATACCATAGTAATGGAAATTAATCATCTAGTTGCTTCCCTTAAAATAGAGGAATTTATAAAAGGTATTTCAAACTCAGTGATTCATTAAGATATAAAGTTACATATTTTTTTCAAGAATTGTATTTTCTAAATAATATTTTAAACATTTATTTTTAAATTACATGTAAAGTATTTATGGTATTTAGACTTCACATGTACATTTCTATATCACACCTGATAGTAATATACTATAATTATATAGAAATATATATATATATATATATATATATATATATATATATATATATATATATATATATATATATATATATATATATATATATATATATATATATATATATATATATATATATATATATATATATATATATATATGACTGAAAGATAGGATAATTAAGCATGATGTAGTGGAGAAGAGTTGTGTGACATGTTTCAATCTTAATACGCTCAATTTTTAGTAGTAACCCAGTTCTGTACACATCTATGAGTAGACATGCAGTGCATAAAAGACATGGAAAAGGTGAGCTACTTAATTAAATGCAGTACTTAAATTATTTACATTTATTTGAGTGTTTCAGACAATTTAAGGTCATGCGGATATCCAGGAGATAAAAGCATACCCAGTACCCACCTAAAATAAAAACACTATGGAATCAAATTAACTTACTGATAAGTTTACATATTTATTAATGGCCAGTGATCTTGTACATGTAGTATAACTCCAGATGTTTAATAGACCTTCCTTTAAAGCTGCTTAGCCAATGCAAAATTATTTTTTATTTTGGGAAGTCAAAAACATTTTGAAATTCTGGGAAAAACCTTTAATTAAATGTTCTCTTTCACAGAGCAGCGACTTAGCAGGCAGTTTTGTTCGTTCTGCTGGACCTCAATGAGACAAACTCACCGTGTGCCAGCTGCGGTCTCCTCTTTACCGTTCTGTCGACTTGCCCGGGTGGATGGTTTACTTGGCTTGTTTCTGAGGAGCAATAAAAACAAATATGAAACAACAGTTGTTGCTTTAATACCAAATCTTCCCCTGCTTTAATTTAATAGGATGTGACAGTGATGATGCCTGCTGGGTGCTTCAGAGTGCAAACATTCAGCACTAAAACAATCAGAGGCTCGTTCATCACCACCGACTTTAGAGGATTATACAGTGTCTCATTACTGTGACTGCACTGAAGAGTTAGCGGTTTGTTTGATTTTATCAAACACCCAGGTGTTTGGGTGGTGTTTTTAGTTGGTTTTATTACATTTTAATTACGAGCTTTTACTGCATGTTTATGCCATAAATCCTGTTAACAAATGATTGTGTGTATTCCTGATATTGGAGTGATGAGATGATTTCAGTAAGCATTATTGTTGTGATTATGATTCTACTATTTGTGTCGATGAGCGGTTACCTCTCAGCCTCCAGGCGAGATGCTGACCGCGTGGTCGCTCTGGTTGCAGCTCCTTTTTCTTCTTCGTCTTTCTCACCATCATCCTCCTCATCCTCTTCATCATCATTCTGCTCACTTTCTTCTGCCTTTTTGTCCTTTTTATCTGTAGGAAAGAAGATAAAATGTTGCGGACATCCATGGGTTTGATATTTAAACCCCATTGATTGGTTTCCTTAAGACACTTAACTGGAGCTTTATATTTCTTCTTCACTTTGAATTTTTTTTTTTTTTTTTTTTAAACTAGAGCCCATCCGATCACCTAATATTTAAGACAGATACATGATTTTTATATTTTAAAATCACCTATATCGGCCAATATTATTTTTCTTCTTTTCAGAAACACATAAACAAAGATTACTCCTAACATTTGTTATGTGTACTTATGAGACCTCACCAAGAGAACATGAAAATATTTTATTGTTATAAACTCTTATAATACTTAATAGTACTTTGGACAAAAGTACAGCTGATTATGTCAGCTGTTTTCTGTGTTTTGTGCCCTCTGGTGGACAAATTATGCAACAACACCACTCATAACATGTTTGAAAGATCAGTCTCTATATTTATTTTTTAATCGTCATTTATCGACCGTTATAAACACTGATTTTGATTTATATACAATTAGTTCATCTGCCAATAATATTGACATACCGATTTATCAATCTGGCTCTGTTAAAAACATTTTTAAAAATATTTATTACAAAATGGCCAAACCTTAATCACTGAGGCAGTTTCCCTACCATAAAGCTAAAATAATAATTTTATCTCTACAATCAATAAATACAAACTTTATTTATTATTTGTCAATGAACGTTGCTCAAGCTTAAAAAAAATCTGTTCTTTGTAACAAAACCCTTCTTGTTTGATTTAGATCAATCTTTAAATCTCCTTACCTGCGTCGTCTGTGGCTGCCACTGCCTTCGACGGTCGTCCCCTCCGGCCGGGTCTCTTTGGAGTAGTCTCTTGATCCTCTTGAAGTTGCTCCTCCTCAACCTGGAAAGATGACAACAAATACTTAAGTCTGATGAGAGTTTAAATAAGATAGTAAAAGGTAAGACTTAAGTTTTAAGTCTTTCCATAGACAATAGCGACAGTACAGCTTTTACAGAACTGCGCTTTTTAAATTTTACTGGCAACATACAACGTCTGGTCTCTTCTCACTGCAAAGCTCCTCTTTGACCTCCTCTTGACCCTCTCCCTGGCTCACTGAAGGGGAACAACCTGGAAAACGATAAATGTACAATACATAATAGTACATAATATTTCCCCCCCAATCAGAATTTTGTGATGTTTTGTCTCTACAATAAGTATCTAGGCCATACATTGTGTGTTCTGTTTTAGATACAGTCTGCAATAATCCCACAATAATATAGATGCATGCTCTCTCACCACTTTCTTTTTCAGGTTGTTCACTTTGCTTCTGTTGACTGTTGTCCTCCCTTACATCCTCTTCGGCCTGGGTTTCCTGTAGAATTATAATTTGAATACACATCGAGACACATACATTGAGAAGTGAATACAGACTTAGATGGAGGAATTGCAGAAAATGTTTTAATTCACAAATCTCACCTCCACAGACTCCTCCATTTCCTCTGACCTCTTCCTTTTCACTGCTGGTTTATCTGGAATGGAAATATGATGATGGTGAAAATTGATAAAAATGTATCATATCTTTTACATCCAGGGAACAGCCAGAAAATATTTTGTAAACTTTAACTCGTAGCAAAGCCGCCAGCCATCCCTCGTCAGCCATCATTGCCAAATTACTCATTCATACCATTTTACAGCTCGTTAACAATAAAGGTTAAAAATAAAAATTGTTTAACTCACAACAGCGTGCTATGAAATACACAAATTAGCGGTTGATGTTTGGCTCAAGTATTCTTTGAGTGGGTAATGCTCTGGCAGACATAACCACACCTCAACTTCAAGTAACATTATTTGCCATGTATAGTTTGACAAGCGAGACAATAGGGCCAGATATTTCAGCCATTTAAAGAAAAAGATGACATAAGAAATAAATGCCTTTTGTTAAAAACAAACGTACATGTGTCAGTGGTCTCTTTGGAGTTGGAGCTTCCTGCAGCTTCAGCGTCTTCTGGAACAGGGGACGGCAGATTGACTTGACTTCCTCGCCGTCCAGTTTTTTTTGGTCCACTTTCCTCTTCAGTTCCCTACAGATTTAAAAAAAAAAAAAAAAAAAAAAAAAACCCCCAAAAAACAGTGAAATGCACTCAATGCTCATGTCCTCTACAAAGTATTAGTCCTTGTTGTCTGCTGACAGGCTTCATCATGTGAAGTAACAAAGTCACATGTACAGAGAATTTCTGTACTCATAAACCTGGTAATGTTGAGTAATGTGAAGTATCTAACATTTATGTACATGTTTGTTTACGTACCTCTTCTTTCTCAGCTGGTTTTGCTAATGAAGTTTTATCTGTGCTCTCCTTGTCGTTATTTTCATCCTTTTTCTGATCATCTGAGGTAAAAAAAAAAAACAAACCAAAAAATGCAACGTCACAAAAAAAAGTCACGACTATTTTTCTAGAAGCTGCAACACTCAACCTGCTCTGTCCTTTTGGCTGGATAACTTGTTAATTATAGTACAATAAAAGTGAAATCTTTTAAGACTTTGTTATAATAAAATCTTCAACATATTGTAAACAAAGGAATAACGTCTCTAATAATCATAGTCAAAATATTTGACAAATTAATTGCAGTCTCAATATTTCCTACAGTGTTCCTCAACTATTCAAATTCTATTTCAAACATTCAATTCCATTTTTCATAACCTAATATCTTGAAATGATTTTAATATATGTGGCTTGTGCACAACATAATATGACTAATAGCAGGACAACAATGATGAACAGTATAACTAATAGGCCTAAATAATCATCTCTACTATATAAACCTCAGCAAATCCCACATTTTTCATAATTTGAAGATTTTCAAAACTTATTTCAGACTTGAACAACATCCGTGTTGGCTAACTTTAAGTGATAATCTTACCAGCAGTGGTTTCTTTGGCTGCAGCTCTTTCCCTGAGACTCGGAGTCTCCTCCAGTTTCTCAGGTTCTTGAGGTTGGTCCCTCTCCCCCTCCTCTGTTTTAGATGATCGACCCCTGCGTGGTGTTTTGACTTCCACAACCTTCTCCTGATCCGTTTCCTGAAGATAAAAAATAAATAAAAAAGAGTCTATGAGAAAATAAATTATGAGCAAACACATACAGATCTCTAATAAAAACATTGTTTTTTTTTATGCATGATTGTCATTTCCACAGTGTTGTTTGTGTTTATAAAATGGTTTTAAAAGCCAAAACAAGAACACTCAAGCAACAATTTTGCATTCAACAACATGTTTATATGTGATAGAAGTGATATTATATTTAAAAAAGCCTATATTTACCTCAGCAGACGGTTGCTCTTTACTTTCCTTTTCTTTCTTCTCATCACCTGATCAGTTACGAGAACACAAGTGAACACATTGTTTTATAAAAGTATAAAAATAATAATTTTTCAAAACTCATTCCAAAAGGCAGATAAGCTGCTGGAGAGGAGCCGTTTGGTGGAATCAGTTCATCCATAAATGGCTGATGTGTTAATGTGTGTTCAATTTGAAATTTCCTAAATCTAAAACTTGGACAATCTTTGAATCTTGAAATTTGCAGTGGAAAGAAAATTTGAGCTACTGTACCAGATTCCTTCACTGCTGCAACTTTCTGAATGGACAGCTTTCGTTTACGTCTTCCTCTTCCCTCCGTCTTCTCTTCCTACATGACAAAAAGGTGTTAGCACAGAAGGTAGGGTAACGCATCAGCACCTACATTTATAATACATAGTACATGAAAAAACTGTTTGGTGTTGTGCAAGGACATCAAAGAACACAAATCAAGTGCCACTGGACATGGTTGAAGATACCTGAAGACATCTCGCCTCCCATCTGATACTTCTTTTAAGTATCTTCAACCATGTCCAGTGTTCTTTTACCTTCCTAGGGTAACTATGACCTGGATGACTGAGAATCTTCACAAACATCTTGTTTGGTGTTACCTTTTCTGACAGGTCTGATCCCTTCTCGTCTTCCTGGCTGTCTGTGCTGGAGACATTACCTTAAAAATACATGCAAACAGCAATGACTAAGATTAACTGAGAAAGTACTGGAGTCTTCAGGGAAGGAATCAGAAACAACACAACATAAAAATCAGTATTCAGTTCCAGTTTTAGCTTCGTGAAGGTGCATTAAGCTCTTAATACCACATATAAAGGATTTCAATTGTCACTCTTAAGATTATACTGCAGTGAAATGAGAAATATAACAGCAACAATTGAGGAAAATCACAACATGAAGTCACATGACTCACTGATTTGTTTGACTAGTTTGGACGGACTCTCGGGTCCACTCTGGCTGATCTCCTCAGTTTTCCCCAGGACATTGTTTTCCACCTGAACATAATGTGTAAAGATGCACAGATCAACAAAAGGGGGAGAATACATACGCAGACAGGTATAGATCAGATAAAAACCATTAAATAACACAGGGTGCAAAGGTTACAGATTGTTTACATCTGAAAAAAGTTAGCATGCCGGAGATTGAAAACACCTACAGTTTGAGGATCACTCTTCTCTGCTGCGACTGTTTCCTCCTCCACTGTCTTACTCTCAGCTTCACCTAGTGGTGAAAAGAAGTAGGGTTAAAGATATTGCCTATTTTACATTTTGATGAATTCACTTCAAAATGTCCACCAAATCCAATTACAGTATTTAGAAAGATTTAAAAAAAGCCTTACTATTATCCAAGTCCATCGTGGCCTGGTTGTCGACAGCTAGCACTTCCTCTGGCTATTGTATGAGAGAGTTTAAAATTTTAGTGAAAATTTTAATAACATTTAAAATGTGTAAACCATGAGTGGTAGCTCACCTCGGGGCTTGCCTTTGTGTCTGTAACATCTGGCTCACTTTGCTCTAAAGTGACAATAAGATTCTAAAGTTAAGAGTCAGAAAGAAAACGAAACAAACCCCTCTTCTTCTTTTCAACCAAAATGTTTTCAAGCACTCGCCTTGTTTACTGGACGTTTCTGACACTTGTTCAGTGGTATCAGAAACATCTGAGCTTTCCCCTGTGGTTCCTCTGACCTCTTCTGTTTCAGACACAACGACAGTATCAGCAGCTGAAATATTGTAGAAAGTTATTTAGCAAAGGAGCACCATGAGATTGATGCACAGATGATGCCTGGTCAAGAAAAAAAAAGTCTTTCATCAAACTAATCACAAGAAACAGTTGCAGAGATCAAAACACGAGAAGCAAGATTTGAATTTAAGCTAAAATAGGAGATTAAAAAGTTTACCTTCCTCACCAGCTGCTGCAATATATTCATCTGGCTGTATTTCAGGAGCAATTTCTGCACGCTTCGCTTCGTTCACATCTAAAGGAGCCTGACATTCATTCAAGGTAGTGTCATCCTCCTTTGTAGAAAAATAACACCTTAGAAAATGACACTCCCACGACATTTTCCATTTGTTTAAAGTATAGTTTTGAAAGAAGCTTACAGTGAGGAGTGAACAGTCCAGAAGGGCTAAATAAAACAGGACATTTAATTTTACAAACGCTTGCTGTTGTTTTTTTACCTGTGGAGTTAGCGACTCTGACATCTCCACCCTTGCCACATCACACATTTCTTTCTCTGAATTTCCAGACACATCTATAAGAGAGATACATATTTCTATTTAGGGAAACATTCTGACATGTTTAGGTTTTCTGCCATTACGGTTTTTCACTTACATGCAGGGTTTGGTTCTTCATCAACAAGCTCAGCAGTTTGTTGAGATATAATTGGTGACGGTTCAGTTGCTGTAAACTCAGTTTCAGCAGCTGTTTGCACATCCATTGGAGGATGCTGCTCTTCTTGTTCAGCTGCACTAGTGTCCATCGGTTGTGGGGCAGTCTGAATCACATCTGGCTCTGCCCTGGCATCTTGGCAAATTAAGGTGGAGGACACTGTGCTGTCAGGATCCATGGAGAGCAGAGTCAGAGCTGCTTCTTTCATCTTCATGTCAGCGTCCTGAATAGACTCGGGTGTCGCGTCCTCTCGACTGCTCTCAGGTGGAAGCCTCGCCTCTGCTGAGGTGCAAACATCCATGAGAGTCAACAGAGCGTCTGCCTCCGCCGGTACAGCTGGCATCTCGCTGAGCCGTGACTCTGTTTCGCCTTCGGGTGGCTCAGGGGTGATATCGCTTAAAGCGTCGCAGGTGTCGTCTGAGAAGGAGGTGGTGACGGTGGTTGTGACTGGGTCAGAGTCTGTGCTTGTGTCTTGGAGAAGAGAGCGTTTCTTTGGCTGCTCCTCTGCGTCAAGACTCGGTGAGGAAACTGAAGACTTTGAAGATTTATCAGACATTTCCAATTTTTCTTCCCTTTGTGCTTTTTTCTCTTCTTGGCTATCATCTTTCTTTTCTGGGACTTTATCTTTCCTCTCCAGTTTTTTCTTAGCACTCTTAATTTCTGATTTGTCATGGAGAGGTTCCTCTGAGACTTTCCGTTGTTCCTTTGCATTTCCCTCTTTTTTCTTTTCTTTTGTTGTCTCAGGTTTGCTGACAGATGCACCTCCTGTACTCTGAACTTTATTATCTGTCTTGGATAACAAAAGTGTCTTAGTTTCATCTTTGGATTTTGATTTAGATTTTTCCACAATTCTTCCTTTATCTGTTGGCTTGACCCTTTTGGGATCTTTGTCAATTTCAGAGCAGGACTTGCCTGACTTCTGGATGTCTTGATCTGCTTTAGTCTTCTCCTTCTCGCCGTCTTTACTATCTGTTTTAGATTTGGGTTTGTCTCCTGGCCTTTCCTCAGTGTGGCTCCTTGACCTTTTCAGGACTTCCTTGGAGTGTTTATCTTTCTTCTTGCTGCTGTCAGACCCGGGCTCCATGTCAGACCGATCCTCAGAAGAGCCGGCAGAATCAGGGCGGAGCAGCTGCTTGAAATCACTTTTAACCAAAGTTCTCTCTCCTTTGGCCTTTTCCTTTTCTTTGCTCTTATCCTTATCTTTGTCCTTTTCCCTAATTTTGTCCTTCTCTGCTTTGACAGTCTCCATTGATGGGGCTTTTGCCTTCTTGACAGTAGCATCTTTAGGACTCTCTTCTACCACTCCATCTGACATGGCCAACTTTCCTTCTCTTGTGGTTCCTGACGTTTTCTTCTCAATTTTAATTTTAGGCTTTTTCTCGCCTCTCTCTTCAGAAGACACTTTAACAGCAGCACCTTCCTTCTGTTGAGGTTCATCTGCCTGATGTTCTGATTTTTTCTCCTGCTTTAGTTTGAGCTTGGCACGTTCATCTGACAAGCTGCGTTCCTTCTCTTTGCGTTCTTTAGAGTGTAATTCTTTACGGGACAACCTATCAAATTTTCCAACTGAACGCTGTTTGAGAGCCTCTTGGGAACCTTGCTCCAACTCCAGGATGAAGGAGTGTGTCCGGCCTTTGTCAGACAGTTTTTTGGCTTCACTGGAGTCTTCTGAGACACTGCCACTCATCCTTCTGTGCCTCTCATCAGACGATGCCGATTCTGACAGATTTCTTATCAATTTTTGTTGTGGAGTCTTTGAGGATGTAGATTTCACCTCCTAATTTTGAAACAACAAAACACAAAAATGCTTGTTACAACTCATCACTCCAAGGACAAACCTGTTACTGGTGGTTTTATTCACGACAGCTTTCACATACCGCTTTCTTAGATCCCTCTATGTCTCCTCTCTTTTTGCTCGAAACATCTCCCTCTTTCCTGAAGAGTGAAATTGATGAATGCATTTATAATGTGTACATAGCAAAAATACCTAAAACATTTCATAGTATTCAGCAGCTGCTGTATGAAAATGCATCTGAGATTTTAAGACATACCTAGAGTCCAGCTTCCTCTTCCTGTTAAGGGCCATTTTTTTCTCCAGAACTTTCCTTTCTTTGCGAGCCTCTTTGGCTCTGGGGCCCTCCAGCCCAGCAGAGTCTCCACTCTTCTGTTTTTTGTGATCTGTGGAGGAAACAAAGCCCAGTAAATCACAGTTAAGAGCACACAAAGCTATTTTGAGGATGCATTAGATTTTTTAAGATGGGATTAATGACAACATGCAGCCCGACTAAACAAACTAGACATCAGACACTGCTATTTACAGACGTGAAACGTGAGTACACATTGCTGTAGTTTTAACACAATGCAACCCAAACATCTTGTGGAAATTTAGAAGCTATTATGCTTAAAATCAAACAGGTTTGAAATAAACGTGATTGTCCCCAATGGGCCAAAGAGTCCACAGCAGAATATTACATATTTACAAGTAAAACGTACACTAGTCTTATCTTATAGAAACATTTTTGGTCACTGTACTCAGCCTAATGTCGTGTAACATGTCCCCAGTCTTACAGGATGCATTGGGGAGGAACATGAATAAATACCGGAAGAGGTAAGATACATGGGATGAAAAGAAAAAAAGAAACCAAATTGTCCACAACTGTGAAAAGTACTTGACAGCAGGCAAGCACACACATGACAGACAGAAATACCTTGCTCTTCAGCCTGCGCTGCTTTTTGTTTGCGCTTCTCTTCCATTCGCTCTCTGTTCTGTTGTCTATTGAGCAGCCTTTCCTCTTTGTCCTTTGCCTGTGAGAACACAGTTAAAGACAGAAACCAATAATTAAAACAACAGACCATAAAAAAAGTTTGTGAGCAACCCATTTGCCTTTGATTTAGCTATACGCAGAATTAAACCAAAGATGATGTTGCTGTACATTTAATGTTAACAATAATCCAACTCACCGCAGATCTCCGGCGTTCTTCCACTGTGATTTCATCATCCGAGTCGCTATAGTAACGAGAGTAGAGGAAGGGCTTGTGAACGTAGGCCTTGCGGCGTGGTTTGCGATCATCTTCTCCTGTGTTTCCACTGGCTTGCTTCTTTTCTGCTATCTCATCTTGATCTTGTGTCAGAAAAACACACATAGGAAAACATTACAATCCAACACAGAGATACAGTCCCCTCCAAAAGTATTGGAACGGTAAGGCAAATTCCTTTGTTTTTGTTGTTCACTGAAGACCTTTGGGTTTAAGATCAAAAGATGAGTATGTGAGTTCAGAATTTCAGCTTTTATTTCCTGGTATTATATTATATTGTGTAGTAGTTCAAACTGTTCAAATTTTGTTTAAAAATACAGGCAAGAATAAAAAGTCGAGACCATCTGGTGGAAGCTCCCCCTCTTCAGAGGAATCTGACAGCAGCTGCTCGTCTTCACTTTCACCCTCGAATGACGACAGGTCGCTAGTGTGGACTGAGCTCACTGTGATGTCGCTCAGGCCGTCCAGGTCAGAGTCCTCCAAGAAGTATTCTGCAGGAAGACACATCAGTATTTAAACACAAGTTTTTCTTTCCTTTACTCGATTTAAAATCACTACTTAAAAGTCAGCGTTGTGGTTTTCAAACATGCATGACTCTCACGCACATATTCTGATCTGGTGTTTAAATCATTATGATAAATTGTTACTAAGCTAACAGAAAACTAAATGTTGTCATTTGATATAATCCATTTACAAATCCACCTGTAATTGTGATTTAAGTGAAATACAGTAACCTGAATATGTATTACCTTAGATTTACCAATATTTGCACTATACATGTCCCATCTGGATAAAGTCAGGGCATTAATAATTTTGAGTTCTGCAATAGACATTTATTTTCTTCATCTATTAATTTGTCAGTTTATTTTTTAGATTCATTGTTGAATTGTCTATACTATAAAATATTTTTAAAAAGTCTGAAAATTGTGAAATATGGCCATCTCAATTTTCCAATGTCTCCAGTAGCCCAAGGTGACTTCTTCACATTGCTTGTTTTGTACAACCAATGGTACAAACCCCAAAGATATTACATTTACAATTACATAAAACTGAGAAAAGCAGTAAATCCTTACATTTTTAAAGATGGGTCCGGAGACTGCTTATCATTTTTGCTTCAACAATTCATTTTCTGTCATTTGACTATTATTCAATTAATCATTTCTGCATTATATATATATTATTATTATTATTTTTTTTTTTTTAAAAGGTATTTATTTGTGAGTGCAGGTTACGCTGCTCTAAAACTGAAAACACATACAGAGCTTACAGCTCACCTTCCTTTATCCTCTCTCTGGCTTTCTGCTTGGCCTGACTTGAAGTTTTCAGCAGATCATCTTCCTGCTTCTCCTCTGTGGGCTTTCCAGTTGTTTTGCTGGCAGCTTTATCTTTCTCCTCCTCTGTCTGCTCCTGAGCTCCCGACTCCTCCTCTTCCATCTTCACCTCCTCTAATAACCCCTCTTTTCCCAGATCCATCTGGTCCTGCGTGTCCTCTGTTTTCACCTCTAATGCCAGGACCTCTGATGCCAGCTCCTCTGCCTCTTCCAGTGGCTTCCCGTCATGGGGGCTGTCTCCATCCTCATCAACACTCATGTCCTGCTCGCCCTCCTCCACCAGCTGCATGGGCTCATTGTAAGCTTGGCATTTACGCCCTTTATCTGCGCCTGAGCTGGCCCTGACGCTGGCTTCCTGGTTGAGAGAGGTTATGGTGTCCAGGATGGACATGGCGTCGCTGGCGGAAGTGGTAGCTGGAGCAGAAGACGAGGCTGTAAAAATGACAGATGCTGTTTAATTTAACATTGAGGAGAAAGTCACCATTCTGGTTGCACCTCTTTCACATGACACTCATAGTGCAAGGTCAGCTACAAAGCAGCTTTCCTGATCAGCTTTATCAAGGTGCACTAGGTTAGTTCACCAAGGCAGAACGAGTTTCAGATACTTCGCTCCTTTTAAATTTAATGAACTGCCCTCAAGCTAAATTCTCTCATTCCTCATGGAGATCTCAAAGTTTGACTATCTGATGTTTTATGACTCATATTTTGTCACTTCATGATTAGTTGTTTGGCTTCATCTGTGTTGTTCTTGTACACTGGTTGTGTGGCTGACTATGTATGAATCTTGTTCTTAGATCTCTCATGAAAAAGAGATTTTGAACTCAATGAGAGTACCTCATTAAATTAAGTTATTAATTGCTTACTGATATGTTCAAAATGTCATGTCAGCAGTGTGTAAATCTGAATCCTCACTGTGCTGAGAGGCAGCCCCCAAGCCATACATTACATACATCATAAACTTTACTAGAAAGGAGAAGTGAACTAATGCTTCAACTTAATTTAAGGCAGCTTTCCATTTTTAAGGAACAGTTCAACACTTTGGGAGGTAGATTTATTCACTTTCTTTCTGAGTTAGATGAAAAAGCAAATAAGCATGTTTCCAAAAATTTGGAACTTAAAGAATTAGTGGAAATTCAAACAAGGAAATGGCTGCTATTGTCTGCAGATCAGTAGATATCAGCCATAAGCAGATGCCTGCATGCTGACATCCATATGAAGGTTTAGTGGTCAAAATCATCACAATAAACACCAAACATGGCTGTCATGGTTAATAAAAGGATGAAATGCCGTGTACCTTGCTCAGGAATGCTGCTCTCTGGTTTGACTTCTATTAAAGGCAGTGGGGCTGGTGGCTCCTCAGAGAAGCTGCCAGGGGACAGAAATTCACGGACCACCCTCTCCACCTGCGGCCTGAAGATGTGGTTGATTTTGGGATCCACCACCTGGGCCACGATCCTGTCCACTCCCTGCTCCAGCATCCCAGATCTAAGAGGAACAGTTGGATTTAACTCTGGGTTCTTTGTACATACAACTAGTTATAAAACATCCCAAAGTAAACAAACACAGCAGAGGTTTTTTTAGGTTAAAAAAGTAGGGAATGCTTTCTGATGCCAAACAGAAGAAGGAAAAGAGAGAGATTGCTCTGTTGTCACTTACTGCAGCACGAGTTGTCGGATGTTGTTTCTCAGCTGGTTCTTGTTCAAATGAGGGCTCCATGTGTGGTTAGAAAGGTGATTAGAGACAAAGTTGTCAACTCTTTGTTTCAGGTTCAAGTAAGCTGGCTGTGCGAGAAAAGGCAAGACAATTACGACAGTTGAGAGGCTTTTGCTAACAACTGTTGGACATTTTTACTTGATAAAAGTCATAACTGATAATTGGTAAAAGGCTGTCATTGAATCAATAAAGTCAGCTAGTGTTTTGCATGTTTACTTAATACCTCCCATTTAGGACATATAATGAAAGCCACTGGTTGAATTACATTCATTCAATTCATTAAACTAGCTTCAGATAGGCAATTCATCACCTTGAGTATTTAAAAAAAGATATGTTGTAACAGCAAACTTTGGTCAGCAGCCAAAATGCAAACTTTTACATGCAACACGCAGCCAATATTCATATTGTCCTTTTCCAACTTTCACATTTGCCTTTTGTTTGTGTCAAAATTGTCAAACACATCAGGATATCAGTCAGTTGTTTTGTTTAAAATCACTATATAGGATTACATTTCTTTGTTTGTTAATGACTTTTTGGCAAACCAAAGGAATATGTATTTATTCACACAGAGCACCTTTAACACATTAAACATGACTATTTCCTTATGTGGTGTAATAACGATGCTTTATGGTAATTTCTGTAAAGTGACACCTTCATCACATTCACTTCACTTCACTACTCTTGAGGTCAGAGGAAAAGAAAAGGTTGATTTTGCCATTATTATTATAACATATATATAAAACAAGTATGACAATCAATACAATGCGGTAAAAAGTGATAAATTGTCAAATGTGATAGATTAACATCACCTGACCAGTCCTTACCAAGTCGCTAAGTTGAATTTGATGCTGCACTAAAAATGAAAGGAAACTAATGAAAATCACTGGTTGCCTCTAAGATAGAAAAGAAACATCTCTAGCTAAATATTTTAAAAATAATAATTAAATTTCAATTTTCTGGCACCACGGTAATAAAAAAACAACTGACTTAAGGCTGTGTTTACAATAGGATGTAGCTTTAGTAACTTGAGTCCAACACAGACACCTGCTTTCAATGTTCCCTAAAAATGTGATCAGTTGTCAAAACATCAGGATGTCAGTAGTCTGTCTGGATTTCTGTTATCAGGGGTTTATCAGTCTGTTTAACATCATTATACAAGATTACATGTCTCTGTTTGTGACTTGCATTTTGCCAAACTAAAGGAATATGTATTTGTTCATGCATAGCGAACATGTAAAAGTATGCCTATTTCCTTGTTCGGTGTAAAAATGTTTCACCCTCAACAAGCTCACTTGACTTCAATAGTCTTTCAGCAACATTTCAGCAATTATTATATTATATATAAAGCAAGTATGACAATCACAAAGAGGCCCTAAAACAGATTAATTTTGAAATGTGATAGATTAACATCACCTTACCAAGTCGCTAAACTGAATTTGAGGCTGCACTAAAAATGAAAGGAAACGAATGAAAATCAATGGCTGCTTTCGAAGTTAAGAAAAAAAACATAAACTCTTACATACATCTAAATAATCATCCAAACTTTTCTCCTATACAATAGTTAATTTTCGGGCACCGCGGTAATAATGAGCAGAGCAAGAGACATAGTGTTTACAGTGGGGTCTAAGTTAGCTTTGGTAACTTTAGTCCAACACACACACCAGCTTTCAGCATTTTACACTAACAGTTATGCAACGTACCATAAGTCATTATACACACTAAGATTTCACGTTATGAAGACGTTTTCAGCGGTTACCTTTGTATCAACGTCTGCCAGGCAGTCCCTCCTGAACTGGTCGAAAAGACCTTGTGTTTTTAAATGACTGACGATCATTGAGACCAGCTGCGGGTCTCCGGGCGGTAAACCAGCCATGTCTGAGTGTAGGTAGCGTTAGCGGATACTCGGTTAATTAAAATGGTAGATAAATACCGGCTGAACATCAGGTAATAGCAGACTTCAACGAACCAGATTTCTGTTATTAATTTCGAAGCAGGTGTGACCCGGAAGGACAGTCCATCCTATAAAAAAAAAAAGAAACGACTCCACTAAACCGGAAGAGATTTGGAAACGAGGGCTTCGCTACCAAAATAAAATGTCTTCTTTTTTCCGGCAACATAAAAATGTGTTAGTAACGCGGGATAAATGGCAGTTAGCGTTAGCTAGTAACATGACCTATTACTTACAAGTTTCTACTTTATTAGATAGCACTTTATTACCTGGCTAAAACGAATTTTTATGAAGGCTGTAATAGTTAGTTTTTGTGGAAACTATTTAACAGATGATAACTTACTATATCATACACTAAGTTACATATATATATATATACAGTTCTATACAGAGAGTTAGTTCACTCCATTTGATATTAAATAGGGTTGACTGAAAGAAGGGAAACACAGTGCAAGATTATGTTCATTTAGCGACCTCTAGCGGCATGAATGCAACAAGAAACATCCACAGTTCCATGAAATGGTATCGAATTGTTTAATGTAATTTGTTCCGAGTATTTGTTTGATTAGGTAGCTACAGGAAACACTGATGGTGCTCAAAACCGAATTAATATGAGTTCCTAACCACATTTGGAACTGCCACGTGCTTTCCGTAACATAACGCCAGCGCCTCTTACATTTATTTTTACGGACAACATAAGCTTTCAGTGAAGAGAAACTACAGTGATCTTTAATAAAATTTGAAAGTAAATGGAAAAGTTATGGCAGCGGTGGGATTCGAACCCACGCCCCCGAAGAGACTGGAGCCTTAATCCAGCGCCTTAGACCGCTCGGCCACGCTACCGTGTGTTACAAAGGTAGTCATATAACATTTTGAAGAACATTTCACCCACAGAAGCGTCTACAAGCATTTCGACGTAATTTATAAGCAGTAATAATTTATCATGGATGCGATTAAAGAAATTAGTAACTGTCATAGTTCACACATAGTTCGCGGTTATATTAGGTTCCGTTACACATAGATAAAACGAATGCCACAGCAATAAATCCAATTTATATATTTCTACATTTATTTGTCAACTGTATGTTTGTCTACCTGTAGCACCTTATCATCACAGCAAATTCCTCATGTGTAAAACAGTATTTGCTATTTGGTAAATGGTCAGCGTCACAAACTACAGCCTCCAGTTTTAACAATAATAACCTTTATAAAAGGAAATTTTTATTATTGCAGCATACGTTTTATTAGACTGATGGTTTTAGCTAGGTGTACCTAAACTGGCAACTGAGTGTATTTGATAACACTGTCCAAAATCATTAGCTCATAATCTTATGATATGCCATTCATGTTTGCATGGTATTGAAGAAAAAAAATCATTACATGTACACAAATCCTTGTATGATATTTATTAGAAATTTAAAGTGTAGCTTGAGGCAAAATAAAACATGCTTTCCATCCCAACCCTCAAACACCTCATCTTAAACTATTTGAGAATATACACAGCTTGAGGCGGTCTAACAGTAGTACTTTGGTGTCAACACCGTCAGATACAGAAATCCAAAATATAGCTGGGTCCATTTTTAAAAGTTTTAGAAAAGGGAATGACAATAAAAACACCTCTAGACAACATACATCACATAGACATAGTGATATCACACTGTACAATATAAAAAAAGTTGGTATGCATTTATACCCATCATAAAATGTGCCAGAATAATGGCAGTTTAAAGCCCATGGCAGTGGAACCAAAACATGCTGGTCCAGAGTCTGTTGTGAAGGACAGATAAAGCACCCCCACAGAAGGAGGTACACAGGCGGGCTCAGGATTTATTGGTGGGGCAGATGGGGGGTAGGACTCTGCGGGAGTTGGCGCGTACCCACGGGTGGTCAATGACACACTGTAGTGAGAGACGATCGATGGGGTTGTGGCGGAGCAGCTTGGAGATCAGGTCCTTTGCACCATCCGAGATGTTTCTAGGGAACTTTAAATCCACCTGTAAACAGTAACATAACATCCATTAAATCTGAACCATGACAAAGAACTATTGCCTGATGCCAGGTGCATAACAAAACAGTCAGCTCATGGTTTAGTATACTACAGGGTTCAAGGATTGAAACACTAAAGAATTTGATTATCAGTTAATCATTCCTAAGACCATGACTCAGAAGCATAGATGTGAACAACCATGCTGGCCAATTACTGTTAATTTGCAAATGGCTTTTATATATTAGACACCCAACACCAACCTTCATAATTCTTTTGTATGTTTCTGAATGGCTGGCAGTTTCAAAAGGTGGGTTGCCGACCAAGCATTCATAGCAGAGGACCCCAATGCACCACAGGTCGACCTTCTCAGTGTGAGTGTGACCCTCAATCATCTCTGGAGGGAGGTAATCCAGTGTCCCGCACATTGTACGACGTCTGAATGGGTTTAAAAGAAAAAGTTGAGCAGGGAAAGCAGAGAAGCAGCAACAAGCAGATTTGTGTGACATGATACCGCAGTATTGAGCAGTTGGTCTGTTGACTAATGGATTGTGGTTCCTCACCTTAGAGAAGGTGCATGGACAGACCAACCAAAATCAGCAATTTTCAGCTCTCCACGATAGCCGAGAAGCAGATTCTCTGGTTTGATGTCTCGATGAATCACTTTCCTCTCATGGCAGTACAGCAGTGCATCGGATATCTCCTCCATGTACTGGAAATGTAAAAGAGGTTGGCATCACAACAAGATTCTAACACTTAAATATAAACTATTCAAGATCATTAAAACAAGATCGTAAAAGTCCAGTAGTCAAACTGCCCTTCTAACACAGGGAGAGAATTTGCAAATGACTCTCCAAAAACTTACAAACTATATTTACTGACTAAAAGCAATAATAGCACAAACGAAAAGCTCTGCTTTTTAAAAGCCCGTATCTTACCGTGGCAGTACGATTTTCATCAAATCTTCCACATCTCTGCAGCTCCTTGTACATTTCACCACGTGGAGCGTACTCAAGCACCAAAAATACCCTCTTTCGGTCATGGAAATAATTGTAGAAGCGCAAGATGTTGGGGTGCCTGCAAAACAGAAATACATTTTAAGTTAGTATGTTCATAGCCTAAGGCAAGCTGTTTTAGATTTGCAATAAATTGTACTAAACATTTCCAATACTGCACGGTCCATCAAAAACTTTGAGTGCAGTGATGTTCTTCTCTAATATGCACTAAAGGCTCCGGACAAACAACTCACTACTGTTTTTAGTTAGCTCAAAATGTATCTAACCTATAAATAATTATTGTGAGCGTTTGATAAGTGTTCCTGTAATCAGACGGTAGCAAATATCCTGCAAGGAAGTTGTACTGTGGGACAATTTTCCCATATTTAAGCCTATCAAGTACTCCTTAGTTTGAGGAAGACAAATATATTGTTGAGATTATGAAAATGCTTTTCAAAGATACTCACTTGAGATGTGCCTGAATCTCAATCTCCCTCCTGAGTTGATGCTCCACACACTCCTTTTCCATCTGTGACTTGAACAACACCTTCAGTGCCACGACGGATTGCAGCTTCTTCACCCTTGCGAGGTAGACATTACCAAATTTGCCCTTCCCCAGTGGACGACCAATGTCAAAATCATCGATAGTGATTTTCCTGAGGAAGTTACAAAGATGGATATTGTCATGTTAACCATTCAAATTGTAGAGGCAATCACTTGATGTTTGAAAGCATTACAAAAAAACTGAACTGAAAACCAACACACAACTCAAGAACTACAAAGGGAAAGGGTTGCAACGTTATGAGATTTTCAGGTACTACCAAATACTGGTACTGATAAAAAATAACTGGAGTGACAAGGGGGCCGATTAGTACAAGCGTACTAGGCGATGTGTCAGCAGTGCACAGGTAGACCTGAACATTTTGCTAGGAGAGCTAACACTGCATTTTGTGTCACAAAGTTAAGCAACAATGCTGAATTTCACATAAAATAAAAACAGTCCCAAACAGTGAGGAATACAGCTTATTCATTGTACACTTGTATTGGATCAGTACTCTGCATTGGCCGATACTCAATGCCCAGATATTGTGGCTGAAAAAGTAGTATCAATGCATCCCTATTAATTTTAAATGTACTGTAACCATGTAACCAAAATGCTCACAAGACCTGACTAAACTTACTTGAAACTTTAATTTATTTCTTTAATTTTTTTTTTTTATAAATGACATGCGTGTAAAAACTCTCCCTTTTGAAAAATTAATAAAAGATGCACATGTGCATGTTAGATTCTCCTTCTGGTTGCATTTCCCCACCTAATACCATGGATAAGCAAATGTCTATACTATGATGTGAATTTTAAATACTGTGAAGCTGGTATACTGCAGCAACCCTACAAGGTAATATACTTACTTTGATGCTGAACTGGAGGATGACCCAACACACTCTCTCCCAGGGCCTAAAAAGGATAATACAATCAAAACATGTACATTTCTTGAGGTATCTGTTGTCTGTATGCAAGCAGGGTAATTTTACCTGTGATGGCACTTCTGTCCATCTCTGCTCGTGGCTTCACCTGAACACGCTGTGGGCCTGCCACCATACTAGGGGTTGTGAACTGATATTCAGAAGCAAACACAGTATTAGGAAGTTTGCAGTATGTTTTTTGTTAAGCCAATACTACTTTCAAATATTTTCATAATACCAGCATTCTGATTATACAATTTGGTAGTACAGTTGCTGGTAATCAAATATATACTTTAAAAAAACAAATATTACATCTTACCGGTCTCTGAAAACCCCTGGGCTCATAGTTTTCCTTATTCTGTAAACATAAACAAGCTTGCATTAATTTACAGTGTATTTTCCTGATACTCATTTTCAGCTTTGAGTTTTGTTTGTTATTTAAGACAATGCTTAAACAATGCACAGCATTTTATTGGTAGTAACGTTCACTGAAGGCTATATTAGGGTTTAGCAGAAACATCTTTCAGTATAATGCAGTCTACAACAATAAAAACTATTAGAATCAAAGACATAATCTCTGAGCCCCAAAAACGTATGTGATCTGCACTGTTGCAATAAATTGCATTAGACTGTGTTCCTTTTGGCCTGGTATTTCAGTGTACATTTCTAATACCATATTGTCAAAAGATCTGCTATGTATGGTATTATGGGGGAAAATGGAGTAGTCTGTAGCCTTAACAATTGAGTCGTAATTATTTTACTAACTTTTAATGTTTATTAATAGGTAACAAAATACCATTTGTTAATTAAACCAACTATACTTTAACACCAAAAGATTTTCATGTTTTTTATTTTCAGACTTGTATCATCTACATCAAGTACCTGCAAGTGCTTGTTGTTCGTGCAGTAAGCAAGGTTACTTATGCTCCATCTAAAAACTAACGTTACAAAGGTCCAGCAAATTAGGCTACTGTTTGCGTAACGTTAGACTAACGTTGGTAACGTTACCCTTGCCTCATGTTGGCAGTCTGAACAGCACATGTTAATATATATAATTTGCTCTGTGTACATGGTAAACTGCCTGTTATTATTTTAACACAAGATTACGTGTCATTATGCTAAATTAGCTTAAGAAGGTAACGTTAGCAAACCCAACGCTAACGTTAGCTAACGTTTACAATCTGTATCAACTTAAGCAATATAACATTAAGTTCATTGTGCTCATCTTTTGCATAATCTTATTTCGATATAAAACACAAGAAAACTTACCTGCATCGTACTGAAGAACTGTATTATGAACGTTTTAGCGAAGAAAGCCCAGGCTTTACTATTAAAAACTTCCTCAGCCGCCAACGATTTCAAAATGCTACCCCTCACGAATCTGATTGGTCGGTATGATACACACAGAATGCTCCCATTGGTCAGAATTGTTGAAAAAGAAAGCGTGGGATTGGTGTACACTGACGCTTGTCAGCCGTCGACCTGCCCTCACTTCCTATGAATGCTCGTTCATCCGGGTAATCTACGGTCTTCAGTACCAACACTACTGTTTTCTTTATAAACCTGGCCAAATTAACTAAATCCTATTGCCTTTACGTGTCCTTAATAAAACGGAATACATACGTTTTTGCCTGTGATGTCATCAGCTATCTTTAAATCCTTATAGCACATGAGGCAGGTCCTCAAGTCTCATTCAAATACAGCCCTTTATCTTTGGTTCCTGCTGACTGCATGTTATATTGACATATCTTACTGACTACTATAATTACAAAAACCTGGTGTTCCTTGGTAAGAGGTGATGTTTTAATTAATGAAAACATCTATGGCTGCAACCAACAATTATCATAATGAAATATCTGCAGGTCATGTTCACAATTAATCCATTAATTGTCTTTCTTATAAATAGTGAGACAATTTCTCAAGGCTCAAGGTGACTTCTTCAAATCACTTGTTTTGTCCAAAAATATTTACAATGTTGTAAAATAGCAGAAAAGCAGAAAATCAAGTCGATATGTGCAGGCTTGTTGATCAACCACTAAAAAGTCGGTCTATCAGTCAAAATTTATAGAATTGTGCAATTAACTAATAAAATACAAAGACAAATGATACTTCAGGATATATTTGTTCAAAATAGGTTTATTCAAAACAATTTCTCATTGTAACCTTTAATTGGTTGGTTTAAATACAACATAATTCATGTCAGTGACACAGATCTTCCATGTTTCCCCCCCATTAATACAATGTACAGACATCTACAATTCAGGTTTCTTATTTCATAATTTCTAAAAATCATATAGAAAACAAATGGGCAAGTAACAGGGAATTGGGACTTGATAAAGATCAATTTAAATACGTTATGCTTGTCTTCTGTTACACCAAAACCAAACACCTGCTTGTAACGGATATTTTTCTGAATATATACATTATTGAAAAGGAGTGAAGGAACAGGAAACAGGTGGCTCATTGCCAGCAGTATGCTTTAGTTCTCTGCCTTTGTAGCTGACACCTGCTTATGTCTTTACAGTCTAGCAGTGGTAGTTCGAAATTTTGTTTCAAATTGTGACTGAGTTTAAAAGAGTATGCTAAAAACATGTTTGTGTCCACATGTGCCAGACCTGTATTAGCTTTTTTTTTAAACCATGTGAGCAATTAATCTGGAAGTGAGACTGCCCTGAAGCAGTAGGGATGGACGATTTGACCATATATAGCATGGGATGATATAAATTTGTCTACCTGTCTATCTAAGATTTTTCAAACCGCTTATAAAGTTGTAGCTCTAATGTTAATGTGTTTGTCACTGAGGCAATGTTACAAATCAAAGAACAAGACTGCTTTGTGGCAAAATGTTTTTTTCCCATCACTGTGATGAAGTACCTTAATTTTGGGGGATTTTTTTAATTTGCAGGATTAGCCATCAGTCTTTCGTGTATGGTCATTTTATACATAAAGAGTTTCTCTGTTGATTTTCCATAAAAATATAGAAGTAAGCTTGTATTCAAGTTTGAAGAACAATGGTTTGGAAATATCCTAGTCTAGTTATATGCATAACACAATAATAAAACTTAAATAATTCATTATAGCAATAATGCAATATAAAATTGCATATGCCTGTGTGAAAAGACATTTTATCCAGATTGGCCACTTGTATGCTGCAGTTCTGAAGACTGAATTTATTCTGCATTGATCTGAACAGAGCAGTTGGTGAAAACTAGTATACAGGATGGCAGCAGGACAGCCAGTGAGCGACGCAAACTTGGAATAGGATCATTCTTATCTGGCGTCTTGTTCTCATCATTGCTGCTGTCTGCACCTGCAGCTTCCTCTCTGTCCTGCTCTTCACCTCCACCACCCTCCCCCTCCACCACTGGTGGACACTGCCGAGGCTGGAAGATCACGTCTAAAAACTCCAGCCGGCAGAGCCCACGAAGCATCCTGCAGCTCCGCACTATCTGCATCTCACTGAGTGTGCAGGCCCACAGGCACAGACATTTCAGGTCTTTCAAACGGCTGGCACAGAGCAAACCTGGCCCCACCTCCTTACCACCCAGACTCAGCTCCTCCAGTCCGAGCCATCCTGCCCCCAGCCCAAGGGAGGCCATCTGTAACTGGTAGCCTTGCCGCCCAGTGATGCCTATTTCCAGATACTTGAGTCTGGAAAGTCCTTCCACGCCACAAGTGCCATCCTTGGTAGCACAGCTCCTGAGCCCGTTAGCAGTCACACGAAAGGTGTCACGCAGCTCCAATCGACTGAGCCTCTCCCATGATTTCAGACTCTGCAGATGCTGGTCTGTGAAAGAGGGTACGTTGTTAAGGATTAACCTCTCAATACCAATCCCAGATGGAGAGCCAGGTCCTTTTCCTTTCTGATCCCTTCTCTGCTGTTGAGCACCAACACTGGATGTGGCTTCTGCTCGTTCTTGGGAACTAGCAGATGAAGTAGGTGTCTGGTTGAAAAATTCACGAGGCAGCTCACAGCCACGTAGCTCCAGCACCTGCAAAGAAGGAGGTAGGAGCTGGCAACTGGGCAGACTTCTCAGGTCTGCATGCAGGAGATAGAGCTTACTCAGGCGAGGGCACTTTGTGGACAAAGCTTTGAGCCAAGACTCAGAGAGGAAGGTGCCCCCTCGGGCAGAAAGCAGCAAACCACGCAACCGGAGACACCTTAGTCCGCAACCCAGGTACTGACGCAGCAGGAGCCAAAGTATGCGGGATGTCACCTAATCACAATGAACAATGTTGAGGCCAGGGGTTGAAAGACAAAATAGACACATACAACCCATTTGTAATAGCTTACAGCATAAAAATTTAAATGTTAGGAACCAAAGAGATTTAAAATATGAATTTAAAGACATGAATAATAGGTAGGTCAAGATGAGCAAGGAGGACAATGATGAGTATACATATTTAGTGAAACAGTGGTGGAGAACATGAATGTTTTTCAGGGCAAGTCTTGTTTCTACTGGAAGTCTGTTCCAGCTCTGTGGAGCATAGTTACTAAATGGTGCTTCTCCATGTTTAGTCTGGGCTCTGGGACCAGATGATCTGAGAGTCCAAGGGGGTTCATATGGTAAAATACAGTCAGATATGTATTTTACATATCAGTAATTTAACTTGTATTCTATGACACACTCGAAGTGCAGGGAGTATTCATTCCTCTTCGTTTTGTAAGGAATATTGTTCATATTATGATCATTTTCAAAATTTCAAAGTTTAACCTTGAGTTCCTGATTCCACCACGATTCCTGACTTGGTTTTAGGTTTTCAAAGACAAAGAGTTCTGATGAGCGCTCACTCTCAACTCAGCCTTTGTTCTTTATAGCCAAAGAAAGTGGTAAAGTTAATGCTATTGGAGCACGGCTATTTTATCAGATTGCATAGATTCTTCATTGTGGACATGTGGTGAAATTAACACGACACTGTACGAAAAGACGAATTAATAGAAGGGTAACTTAAAGCCGCATTGCCAGTGACATTCTTACCCCTTTCCATGCAGTCAGATCGACGAATCTCCACAGTCTTTGGTCTTTCACAAGGCGTTTCCATCTCTTGCACACTCTAAAAAACACCGTAAAAAACAACAAATAACTCCATGACGTGAAATGAATCACAACAAAGGCAAAGCTGGCAACTCTGTTACTGACTTTTGTTTCGCAAGACGAATAACTGGTAACGTTAAATTAGGCTCAGCAAAGTTAACTTCCCCTTACCTTCCAGCTCTAACGAGCTCCCGTACGCTCAGATACGACAATACGTCAATTAAAATGTTTTCGGGAAAGTAGTCCAGGTTACAGGGTTTAAATTCATCCATTTTGTAAACAAAACTCTTTAAACCTTCGACACGGACTACTATCCTGACGCACACGGGTTGCGCTCACATCAGCAGTCCCCAGTGAACAGATACCCGCTCACTGTAGGACCTAGCAGATAATTGCCGAAAAAATATATCATTCTTCTTTACGCTCAACATAGCGTTCACCGGCCAAAACCAGTCTTGCTTTCAGTAAACACCTGTCAAATATAGGACAGTAATTATTTGGTGAACGTATTTGAAATCATCCCGGTGAAGCGGTATTGCCACCTAACGTTCGTTAGGTAAACAGTCCAGTGCGCCTGCGCGGTTTACCGGACAAGATGGCGACCAGTAATGGTGGAGGAATGGAAGTGGATGGGGCAGGCAAGTATTTCTCACTTATCTTATACTTTCTGCCTGATTTCAACACGAAACTCTACGCAGATTGTCGCATTTGTTTTACATTCGTGTTACGAGTGACCGAGGGTGGTGAATTTGTGGTGTTACAGGTTGTAACTAGGTAGCGAGCTTGCTGACATAAGCAGGTTAACGTAACTGTTAATTACTCGGCTCTTCTGTAAAGCTGTCAACAAATTTATCACTTTGGATATTTGAGTCTTTCTTATTCTCTCTTACTGGAGTTTGCGTCAGAAATGTAAACCGTGGTTTGTCTGCACAGGCCGTTTTGAGGAAAACCCAGCTGCCTACCTGTAACAACAACCCAATCTCAAATTAGGGTTGGTCGTGGACGTCTGCTGTGCATGAGATGGACGACATATCGATATATCTATCGTTCAGTATTTATAATTTAAATCTTAAATTGATGTCTTTATCTAAGGTTATGCTGACCATTGTTTTAGCGGAACATTTTTCCAGCATTGAATTGAACAACTGTCAAACATAGCAACAGCATACCAGCTTCAATGATGTTTTATTATTAGATTTTGTAACGTTATTCATTAAATACCAATAAGTTATATATTATAAGATATAACTGTCTGCCCTACTTAGCATGTTATCAAATGTTTGTGCTTATAAGTTGCCCACGACTAATTTTTAATGAAAGTCTGGATAATAAATCTGCTGATATTATATTTGAACACAGTTGCATATCATTAGCACCATTTTTTGATAATTTTGAGATACACTATATCTGTTACATTAGCTAATATCTACCTACAGTTTTATTGATCTGGCTCTACTGTTATATTGGCTTGGCATCAAACACAGGTCACTGCGTCCCTACTTGTCATATTGGCAAATAGGGCTGCAACTAAGGATTATTTTCATTATTGACTAATCTGTCAATTATTTTCACGATTAATCGACTAATCATTTAGTCTATAAAATGCGAAGAAATTGTGAAAAATGCTCATCACTATTTTCCAGAGCACAAAGTGACATCTTTGATTTGTTTCTTTTATCCAACCAACAGTCCCAAACAAACCCAAAGACTCTTCGTTTACTATCATAAATGACAAAGAATATCAGCGATTCTTCACATTAAAGATGAAACCAGCCACATTTTTGCTTAAAAAATGAAAGATTAAGTGATTATCACAATAGTTTTAGATTCATTTTCTTTCAATCGACTAATCGTTGCAGCTCTATTGGCAAATGTTTGTGGTTGTAGTTTGCAACAGTTATCTGCATTTATTTGGGTTTTGAATCAGATTAATTTTCTTGATTAACTAATTAGTGAGCTATGAAATATCAGGAAATTGTGAAAAATGTTCCAGAACCCAAGGGGACAAACAATAGTCCAAAACTAAAGTTATTCACTTTACAATGATATAAAGTAGAAAAGCTGATAATTTTATGTCAAGCATCTGATCAATTAATCATCAACTTGCTGTAATGTTAAAGCCCCCGTTGTTTTTGTCTCCGTGTGACTGTAGCCAGCCCCAGTGTTATGGCCTCAGGGGTCACTGGGAGTGTTTCTGTGGCCTTACACCCTCTGGTTATCCTCAACATATCCGACCACTGGATACGCATCCGCTCACAAGAGGGGCGACCAATGCAGGGTAGGTGTGACAACACTATGCAATGATTACAGCATGTAGTCAGTAACGTAATGTACAGTTGTCTCATGTTCAGCTTGGTTGTTCTGTCACTGAGTGTAATGAAACAGGTCATTATAACAGATGTTCATTGTGTTTTTTGTCCTGCTCAGTGATTGGAGCCCTGATCGGGAAGCAGGAGGGGAGAAACATCGAGGTGATGAACTCCTTTGAGTTGCTGTCTCACACCATAGATGACCGTGTGCATATTGACAAGGAGTACTATTACACCAAGGAGGAACAATGTAAGTGGTTTGTGTAAAAAGCTGATAAGACATGAACTTTCATTTTCAGATCAGCTGATGTAGAGATATAGATGAATATATGTTTGTTTCTCCTTTGACAAGTTTATTGTAAGGGTCCAGAGGTGACTTGCTGAATTGAATAAAACACGTCATAGCGTAGCATAAAAAGATTGTAAGTCAGTATTTGGGTAACAAACTTGTGTCCGATTGCTTCACCAAGGGATAGCAACATAAGATTCAGTTATTTATAAATGATTACTCATTAGTCAAATATGTCAGGTGCTTGCTGTAGTTTTCTTGTAATATTTCCTTTTGTCTCTCAGTCAAACAAGTCTTCAAGGAAATGGAGTTCCTGGGCTGGTACACCACAGGTGGACCCCCTGACCAATCAGATATTCATATTCACAAGCAGGTAGGCAAAAGTTAAAGGTGCTATAGGATCAGATGCTGACTGACTGAATTAGTGGCAAGCTGCAGCTACTTTAAGACTCAAAGCAAGGCTTTCCTGCTGCAGCATTGCCCTCAATTGGTCAGATACATGGGCTACAACGTTTAGACTGCTCTGCTATTTACAGTTAATAGCAGAGCAGTAGTGTTGATATTGTAGATATTCTGACATGTTTTGTTAATGATTCATGTTCAGCCAATACAAAAATTGTGATTACTGAATTCCAATACATAAAAGTAAAATCATCTTAAAGTCTGATGGTCAGATTGTGTACGCTACATTTTCCCACTGTTATTTCCCTCTTCTCTGCCAGGTGTGTGAGATCATTGAGAGCCCTCTCTTCCTCAAGCTGAACCCAATGACAAAACACACCGATGTAAGTTTCTCTGCCTTTTCACTTCAAGAAAGAGAAAATACCATAAATGTGTTACAGCTGGTTTAAACATTGTGTCCTTTTCTCCTTCAGCTTCCTGTTAGTGTTTATGAATCTGTGATTGACATCATCAGTGGCGAGGTACTGCTTTGATAATTTCATATTATCTATATGTTCTGTCCTGCAGCAGTGAGCCAGTTTCCCACAGAGAATTGTTTAAGTTTAATCTGATGTGTTTTTTGTTTAATGTAGGCTACCATGTTGTTTGCCGAGCTCACGTACACTCTGGCTACAGAGGAAGCAGAGAGGATTGGTGTTGACCACGTTGCTCGGATGACCGCCACCGGCACAGGAGAAAACTCAACAGGTGAGAGAGTTCTTAATGTTCTCCTCCCCTTTTTGAAGATTAAACACAGTGAGTGAGTACGCATGCACTCCAATGACCTGTTAGCTGTTTTTTAAAATTTCTTTTATAAGCATTGTTTACTCAACATAAAAGCCGTTATCTCAAACTTATGAAGTCCAAAAGAAATGGCTATTTTAGCCGGTTGTGTCAGTAGCAATGTTCTAACTACTTTGTACTGTATATTTGTGAGTAGAATATGAAGAGGCTCCGCATTCAAAATGAAAGATTAAAAAATACAGACTTGGAAGAGCAGCTGAACATTAGTCTTAGCTCTGGACTGTAATGGATTATCTTGTTTTCAAGATGTACTTATTTACATAATCCCCTGTACACAAAGGACTCATTTCTGGAGGATTTGAGGATACAATTGTAATTTTTTTTCTGTAGAAAGTGTAGGAAATCCTGGCGTCTCTTACCTGTGGTTAGGTGAAGTCTGATTATTCAGTGCATACTTGGTGAATTTTCTGCCATATACTGGTATCAGTACTTTATACTGTAAAAAGTATTTGGTAGATCTAACTAAAACACCCAGTTTGTATTTATAAGAGAAAAGTTATCAAAATCTCTGAAGTTAAAATGTAACGAGTAAAATGAAGACTTCATAATTTTGAAGCAGATTCCAGGCTCTTCTATACTTTGCACACTAGACATTTGAATTACAGATGTGTTGTGATTGTTGCCACATATTAAGTTAAAGATTGTTTGTACGGATGTCTCATATAAAAGCATTGCAATTCCTTACAGAAGAATAAAAGTGTGAAAAATGAAGACATAGATCAAGTAGAAACCAAGCCACACAAAACAGTGGGCAGGGGGAACAATATAATAATAAACTAAACACAATGTTGTTAATTTATACTTAAAAGAAGATGGTTAAGGTGCAAACATCAAAACAGCAGGCAGTTTCAATTCTCTATCTAAATGTGGAGGAAATGGTTGTCCTGTGATCTGACTAATATTAGACAGTCATTAAAAATGAATTCTATCTTTGAATAGGTTTTAACTCCAGTAACCTCTCTGTCTTCTCTGTTAGTTGCTGAACACCTTGTAGTCCAGCATAGTGCGATAAAGATGCTCCACAGCCGGGTGAAGATCATTCTAGAGTACGTCAAAGCCGTGGAAACAGGTGAGAGGACGACAGGACCTTTTTTAATGACGCCGTAAGAGCAAAGAATGGGAAAATATGTCTGGAAAACAGCTGTTTTTTTTCCGTTCCCCACTTTTACAGCGTTAAGAGAGGCCTCTCAAACACACCTCCATAATTACAAGCCCCTGATTCAATACGGTCTTGACAGGATGATCTTACCTCAGTTTTTTAGTATGCTTTAACTTGTTTGTTCTCTTTCCTGTCTGTCTGTTCATGTAATGCAGGAGAGGTGCCATTTAACCATGAGATCCTTCGAGAAGCGAACGCCCTGTGCCACAGACTGCCCGTCCTCAGCACCATTAAATTCAAAACTGACTTCTATGATGTAAGCAAGCTTTCATGTACCTTCACAAATAAAATGTTTTTTAATATAGTAGCATTGAACAAAATCATAACATTACACATAAAGGACAAGATAACAGTACAATGATCCCTAAACTATAGATTATCCTTATGTATAAGCATTGTCCATACAATGTGTGTTTCAGTGGACAGAGTTTTGAGCATAATCCAGAGGTCTGCCATGTTTTCTCAA